TGGAATGGAGTACAAGGCTCGGAGTTGGCATAGCTTGTGTACTAGACCCTTCCATGGACCTTGGTCCCTAACTCAACAATGGAGTGAACAAGGGGAGAATAGAAATTGCAACAAAAATAGGGTAAAGGCTCTTCTCCAAAGGTTGGAAGGAGATTTGGTAGAAAAATTAGAGAAGCCAATTGATATTCAAACTGCAGGAACAGGGTACAGGAGTTATAGCTCATATACTATTGGAGGGAATAGATATTGTAAGGAGTAACTAGTAATGTAGGTACAGAGCTCCATGCAAACAATTATTTATTGAGGATAAATTGTATGTGTATTGTAAGGTCTAAACTATGGAGGAAGGTACAATAATATGTTGAACAGCAGAGCATGGACGCAAATCAGGGAAGTCTGAAGATTCAGGAGTTCAGACTTGGGGTGGCATTTCAGAGGCCCAGATTTTCTGGGCTGTGGCATGAATGACAATGTTTTATGTTGTTTTTGTTATTTCCTTTCTGATGATACTATAAGACTGTACTTCCAAAAGGGAGAAATAAAAATACCACTGTTTGAGCCTGTACACTCAGAATTCATCTGAATAAGTCATCATAGTTGTCTCAGAAGTATTATAGACACACCCCAGCTGTATATAAGTATTTCTAACAAGATAGATCCTAAACACAGACTCTCAGGAGTTATATTCATCCTCCACTTGCCTTATTTCTCACACAGTCATATTATTGCCTTTCTAGCAAGACTGTAACTTGCTATGGTGCATCTACTCAGTTCTCTAAAAAAAGGTAACTGTTGCTATTTAGATGGCTGTGCTACTGTACAGTGCTGGGTATCTAAGGATGTGCAAATATAACTTCCAACAAACTTACTAAATTGTTTTTTTCTGATTTGCTTGGAGGTATTGTTGTTAATCATCAGTTTGGATAGGGGGGGATATCCCGACATTTTCGGGATACAACAATTCTGCTGCCTAAATGGCTAAATTTATTACTTAGACACAATTGTATGCCTTCCAAAAGAACAATCCAAATTTTCCTACCTCAAAAATGCATTATTGAGCGAGTCCCTTATTTTGTGTGATTTTCTACAAAGTAACACTCTGCCAAGCACAGCACAATCATACTTTCAACTTTTTCAAGACCGCCAGGCATGCACCACACAGTGACAGGTGAACAAGTCAAACACATCCAGCTCATTAACAAATTATGACATGCCTCAGTAACTGCAGCAAAACCAAAGGGAAACATCCCAAGTGTGCGTTGAGGGATCCTCAATATAAAACTTGAATTCAGGCTGCACTTACTGGGCTAAAGTCTGGACAATATAAAGCATATACTGGTGCTGCTCAAGCACACAACATGAGTGATTGATCAAGGCCAAACTGATCAATCAAATGCTAATCAATAGTTCTAATACCTTGTTTTCTTAATCAGGTTGCCCGGCAGACTTTACATGATTGTGCAACTGGCTTACACAAATCCCAACAGGATGGACAGGCAGCAAATCAACTACTAACAACCACAGAGGAGAAGGTGCTAATGGATTGGACTCAACATCACACCATGGAGGCAAATCCTCTCAACCCAAGAAAACTTTGTATGTATACCTATGCAATCAGTGGTAAGAAGCCTGGCAGGAATTGGCATTACTGCTATGGTACTTGCAATCCAGTCCTCAAGCTCAAGAAACCTCAAAGTCTGGATCCAAAAAGAGCAACAAATTTCAACAAGCACACTACACGGTGTCATGCACCAACATGGACAGGTGTCAATAATGAAGCAAATATTCAAAAGACTTGCCTTTGCGCCACACAGGCACAGTGCCATGTGGAATATTAATTAATATTGCCTCTTTGAACTTGTGGCTGATCAGCACCACCTCTATTAGGCAATCAACTTGCACTCACCTTTGCTTTCCATTCAGTACTTTTGGCATTTTGGCAATTTTTCACGTCACCACTGGCTACACATTGCACCCTCACTTTTGTTGTTTCCCCCTACCCTTTTTCCTTTACTTAGCCCCACCATGGGCCCTTTACTCTCCTTTTTATTCTCACCTGATGGTTGTTTCTGGCTACCTATTTTAGTCCACTGCTTTGTCACCTACACCCTCCTCCTACTTGTCTTCCTTGCTCCTCCACCATACTTGATGTCACCGCTCTCTATCTGCTTCCATCGCCAATCTGTTGACTACCACGTGCCACTTTTAATATCAGCAAAGCCCCGGCAGCCGGTCCAAATTGGGCAACAGGTCCAACTTCATGACATCAATCTGCCGTCGTCCACTGTTAAATCATTGGTCACTTGTCTTGCCTGGTTAGAGCGTAAATGGGTAGTTTTTGAGCTGGAGAAGGTTCATCCCGTTGCGTTACCTATATACACCGCTGTCCCATTCACTTGGGTACATTCATCCTTTGTCCATTGTATTTGCTACAGCTACACCTACCGCACGCTGCCTGGGACACATTTGTTCCAAATTGGAAATACCCCTCTGCCTCCCTTGTTTGACCAGGTGGTCCATGTAACAACCAAAGTTTTGATACTCTGGTGCACAACTCAGACAAAGCTATAAAGGTAGTGAGGGGAGTGGTTACCCTTAGGATAGGACCGAGTTAGTTGTGGGTAAACAACAGGAGGACTCACTGAGGAGTCTCCTTGATCTATTGGGGTATATATACTACTACAGATTGTTTGTACATGTGTACTGTACAGTTGATGGAGGCAGTGGCTGATGATGTCATGGGGCACAGCCTGTGTGACCAGCTCCACTGCGTGAGATACTTGTATCTAATATAGAAAAAGGCAGCGCAGTGTGAGAAGTGGAGTTTGAACAATAATGGAAAGTGCCGCATGGCACAGGGTGTGAAAACTACAAAAAAAAGTTGAAGAGGAGAATCAAAATTAAAGGTCCGAAAATTGTGTTATTGTAACAGTCCACTACAACAAGACCATTGGTAAAGTCATGAAACCATTGGATTTGGACTAGGTGGTGGACCTGTGGCTCCAGTTCCTTTTTTTTTCAGCAGAACATTCATTTGCAGTGCAATTAATTTTGATTTTTAAATCATTTTATGGACACACATTTTTTAGAATGCCTGACTGACAATAAAGGAACTGTGTTGATACTGATATTTTTTCTGCCTTGCTCTTTTTTTACTGCATTTTACATGACATCATGATTTTCTTACTCTTTTTCTGCTATTGGACTTTATTCTATGGCTGTACAAACCTGTGACATTATTTACACAGCATTTGTTGTTCTATCCCTTTCTTTTTCTTATTTTGACAATCTTACCTTGTACTACCTACACAGGATTTGTCAGTGTACATTCCTTCCTTCATGTTCTTTCTCATTTTTTTTGCACAGCTATACTGTGCATAGCCTACCTTTCTTTTACTATATAAATACCTGTATTTTACCTTCAAAGAACAAGAAATCATAATCCAGACTTCTTCTCTAATCTCAAGTTCACTACTCCCTGCTACTTGCGATCCAGTGTGGTCACAACACTTCCCACTGCTACCACTGTTAACTGCTGTCATTGTCACTTGTCATTTCCAAAGTCATTGTTATCCCTTTCGATTAGAGTCCTTCTAAGCACTACAGTCTGTGCGTCAGGAGCCTGCTATCACTGGGTACCTCATTGCCTTGTCACCCCATTCTCAAACCTACCTTGTGCTACAATCAGCAAGGTAGTGCTTGTCCATACTCGTCATAAGCCCCTATCTTCTATAATTCAACTATCCCTCCTCCTCAAAACCCACACCCATACATTTCTGGGTTTTACTTTGAAGGATCAATATACATACCACCCCACGAACAACCAAAGCACCCACTGTTCTAGGAGGCAAAGCCCATAAACAAGTTTTGTGGAATCTGGGAGGATCGTGTGTTAGTTTGTTTTGTGTGTGGTTTTGTAACAACACTTCTCATCATCAACAATGGTTCAAGATTATTTTGAGAAACAAAGGCAGTTTAATGAGACGTTTAATGGCATACCCCCAGAGCACAATTGGAACATGGACGAGAAAGGAATTCAGATGGGAGGTGGTTGGAAGAATAGTGGGAGTAAGTTTTACTTTAACAGGACAAAGAAGGATGCCTATTGAGTTTCAAGCAACAATCTTGAGCTCGTCACTGTGACCGAGTGTATTTTGGCTGCTGGTGTTTGTATGAAGCCCTCCTTTATTTTGAAAAATAGGCTATTTCTGTTACAATTGACATACCAGCACCTACTTACGCTTCACTTTTTTGTACTTTTACTTTTACTTTTTCCAAGTCACATGACCAGTCACGTGACACAACACCTGACCAATGTCTAGACTCATCATGTGACTGGTCACATGCTAAACATCAGACTTTAAACTCTATTTACAACTGTACAGTACCTCATGTATTTTAGTATATATACAGGAGCAATACATGGGGAAGGACTCAGTGAGTCCTCCTGTTGTCCACCAACAACTAACTTGTTGAAACCTAATGGGTAACCACTCCCACCTCTTCCTCTTCTTTTGAGTGTTGTTTTCATTGTGCTCCAGTGCCCCAAGACTGTGTCTTGTTGGTGTTGTCACAATTTCCTGATGTACAAGGCCTTGAAGGCATTGGGAGGTACATTACCTATGTTATGCTAGTTTTATTTTACTGATTCTCTCTCTCTCTCTCTCTTTTCTCAGCATTTCACGCACGCCAAATGGCTGGATGGACCATGACATATGTGAGAGATTGTTCAGTGATGTGTTTATTCCTGAAGCCAGCTCTCGCCGTGTCAACAACAAACCTATTGTACTAACTCTTGACGCCCATAGCTTGCATGAACAACCTGCAATCCAAAAGATCACCTACAACAACAATATCATTATTTTCTGTTTCCCCTCAAAAACCACGCATAAATTGCAACCTCTTGATGCTGTCCAGTACAAAGGAGGTGGGCCACTCACACCAGCCAACTTGCTTTTAATGGGATTCTTATTGACAGGTATAATGTTATACATGAGCACATGAAAGCTCACGCTGTCATCACGCCAGAACTCATCTGCATGGTCTTCAAACAGATGGGGATTTACCCTTTAAGCCTAAATATATTTATTGATAACAACTTCACCCCGAGCCATGCAACCTCAACCTCTGCACACTTCCCCGAGTCCTATCCCAATATTGCCACGTCAAGCAACAAGTCTTATCATCCCTCCAACAGCAGCAGCAAGATGGACGAGTCAGCGGGTAGAATTAGTGAGGTTGAGGATGAGATTGATGATGATGACGGGGACAAGGATGGAGATGAAGAAAACGGGGATGAGGATGAAGAAAACAATGAAAAAGATGAAAAATAGGATGATATCCTCTTCCCCTCTCCCTCCCTTGGCTCCTCCGCTCAATCTGACCTCCCTCCCGAGCTGATGAATTGGCCCCATCTGTCAGAATCACCTGCACACTCTCTAGAGCCATCTCTTTGTCCATCTCCAGGATGCTCCCTCTCCCCACTTCCCTCCTTGCTTTCACACATTGCTGGCCTCAATCTCCCAGGAAATTTTGGTCAAATGTATCGACCTGGTCCAGCAACGGCTCCATCTCTGTCTCCCTCTCAACTTGGGCAGGACATCCTCCCCTCTCCAACACCTTCTGAGGCCGTTCATCCACACGCTCTCTCTCTGTCCGGCAGAGGACATCAGCGCCAATATTTTACACACTCCTCCTCCTCCTCTCTGCGGTCATTGAACATGGTGCTTACAGATTGGCAAACAGTGTGCATTGAACAAGATCAAAGAAGAACTCACCCAGAGCTTCTCACCAAGCTTGTTTCAACCTGAACGCAGCTCAATCTCATTGAGCAAGACCGAGCACAGCTTCTGGCTATATGCCAGAAGCTAGAGGAGGAATTAGATTGGGTGCAGGCAGAAAGGGATGTTGCAAATGTGCAATGCACTATCATCTCCCATGTGGTTGAAGAAACACACAAGCAGCTGGGAGTGGTGACTAAGAAGAGGCAGCAGGGGACAGGAAAAATCAAGGCTCAGTTTGTTATTCACCCAGCTTTAAAGGTGCATTTCAATCAGGAAAAGGCCGAGCACAGCAAGAAAGCAAAGGAGAGGGCAGCGAAGGATGCACAGAAGGCTGAGGATGAGGCCGTCCATACCATGCGCATTCACAAGGACACTGTCAAAGAATTTTGAGAAGCCCCTGTTGTCCTACAAATGCAAGACAACCTCATTACAGTCACTGGGGCCCTGCAACTGTCAACCACTGGGACAGTCAAGGAACTCCTCACTAGGATCAAAACACACCTGGATAAGCACAGGGAGCTGGCAGGCCAGCCTCACTTTGCTGGATTATTTGGCTATTGCACCCCAAACACATCTTCCTCTGCAGGTGGGTCCGGCTCTTCTTCTGCCATCTCTTTGCCTTCACCCCACTCCCGCTTTCCCCTTGGCACAATCTGCGGTGTTCTCACATGCATACACCCTCAGCTCCTCCCCCAAATTACTCAGCAATACCCCCCCTCATACATGTCCAGGATTCCCATGTGCCCCCCCTGAGTTCTTACACTCTACCAGGGCCAAACAACAAGCCCAGTGCAATTTATTACAGCCCAAATGATCCTCACGGCTACATGTGGTTATAAATTTGTATCAATACATGTGCTTTTGTCAAATTTTGTGTGATAAAAAGTTGATACCTGGGGACTTAGGCAAATTTTCTGCTCTTGATAGTGCCAAGCATGATTTTAACACAGCTTCTGTGACCTCTCTGTGACAATATGTTACTTTTGTGATGTCCAAATAGCCCCCCCCCCCCCCATCTGAACTGATGGTTAATGACAGTAGTATATTTACAGTGTTTTTGGAAAAGCTTGTCAGCGCCATTTTTTTTCATCACGCCCTAGAAATATTATATACTCAGCTCAATTACCAAAAAAAGGATGGCAATAGGAATCCCGGATTCCATGAAGGAGATAACAATAACCTGTGCTCTGCCGCCTGGAAAACACCTGTGTTATAGGTCTGACACAATGTCATTGAGGATATGTGGTCGACCGTGAAGGTTGGGAGGAGGGCAGACAGAGCCAAAATGAGCTTGATTTCTTTGCTGATAGCATGTAAGTACAAATATTGTGATCAATGGAATCCAGGATTCCGTTGCCTGTCCTTTGTGGTAATTGAGCTGATTATATAATATTTCTAGGGCGCGACAAAAAAAAAAACAGTGCAGACCAGACTCCAAACCAGTCGACATATGTGTGTATGCTATATCCTAGTGCTTGTGATTACATAATTTGATTATATAATTATCTGAGACTTTACCAAAACTTGAGTTGAGCATAACACATATGGCCGACTGGCAAAACTTGTAGTGGCGCCAGATTTTGGTTTATTTGCACCACCGAAGATTGCCACCAAATCTGACGTCTTTCGGTCGGCTAAAGTCAAAAACAGAAATGTGACTGTGACTTTTTATTGGACAGAAGAGTAGGAGTAGTACACTTGAACCCAATGTTCTATTATTTACAAGATATCAATCAACTATCATCAATATATTGAAAAGGTCAGCACCGGAGACTAATAATGTTCTAATGATGCTATCAATGTAGCACCTTGTACCCGGTATAAAGCTGCTGAGTAGAAATATATTATTACACTAT